TCATACAACTCAATACATATTTAAACTTTTAAACACAGCACACTTTCAAATAAGTACAAATTGGATTTAAATCACATATTACACTAAAACAATACTATTTGAAATGTTGTTAAAAAAACATGTGGGATAGCCCCTTGCTCTATTGAGCCCTTCAATTTTTTTCCTCTGAAATCCCTTTAAAACGCATTGAAGCATAGAGCTCGGCGGAGCTGTTTGGCCTAAAGCAACCAGACTGAGCGTGCAGGTTCCTCTGTGCTGCGGCGTGGGCGGTGTTTGGTTCAGCAGTGCTCTTTAATAACGAGAACAATACGTGCGGGACGCGGTTCTCTGCAAGACGAGAAAACGCGGCGTCCCGAGAATGAGAAGGCCCCCGCGGCCGCGTTCGTTTGCATTTTTAATACGCGCGTGATTCTGGAGTGCTCTCTCGAAGTTGCCCGAAGTTGCCCGAAGAGGCCCGAACGCCCCCGGAGGTCTGGTTCGCCACTTTAAAGCAGAGAGGAAATTGGAAAGAGGCTGACAGGAAATTGATGCAGAGATGGGCCGAGTTGAAGCGATCTCGTTTTAATAAGACATATCTTAACTCACATTCGATGATCCTCAAAATATGGTGGCATGCTGTAAAATGTATTTCTTCTTAAGTTAAAGTTCGCTTTCTCTTGAATCGGCTTTCAGTCTTAAACCATTTAGTATTGTTTGTTTTCTATACTGTCAGCATATCATTGTGAATTAAATGTAAAGAAAACAATCAAATGAAATAAACATGCGTAAACATTATGGAGTGTAAGGTATTCCATTGTTTTTACTCTTTTGGAACTAAGACACGCAAAACTGTCGAGTGAATGCTTTTGAAAGTAAACTTTTCGGCGGCTTTCGCACGAAATTACCGGAATTTTTTCGAAGTTCATAGTTTCCAAGTTCTTACTACCGAAAGAAGGAATTTTTATAATTGAGGAATATTTATTTTGGATAAAGCATGTACTAAATGGTTTAGGCGATAATGTTTACAGTCTGTAAGATAGTCTTTAAAAAATCTTGTAATCAGCGGACCCCACAACTTGTATTTCTGTGAAATTCTCAAAATCGATTTTCTGCAGCTTTATACAACTTTCTCTTATATTAAGTACATTGTATACATTCGTCCATTATTATTATTATTATTATTATTATTATTATTATTATTAAAGCTATAACATATCTATTAGAGCATGGGGGTAGCTCGCAAACATAACTTACTAGGTGAAATAAAACCTGGTAAAGTTAAAATGTTTTTCAGGCTGCAATTGTTTTTTCATTCAAAGTAAATGTTTAATCCTAATTCAAATTACCCGCAAAAAGTTATTTCTTTTACTTGGATATTTAATTCTCTTAATGTTGTTGGGGTTCGGAAATAATGGGATCTCATGGAACCTCCTCTTCCTCCTTGTTTTCTCTGGGAGACAAAGACTTGCGTCAAATGCAAATTTTATATTCTCGCTACCGCTTACGCTGTGGAGGGAAAGTTTTGTAATGCTGCAGAAAAAACGGCGAATTTTGAAAAAAAACAACAAATTATTACGGGGTCCTGACAACAAAAACGAGGATAAATCCACATGATAAATTTTAAAAAAAATTGTCTAACATGATGTTGCCAGAATCCATGATTTGTGAGTCTTTAATACCAAAAAATCGAATGACGACAAAACGTTCGTAGGTCGGTCTGTCTGTAAACAACGGTACCGGCTAAGTACTGCCCATTTTCTCCAAAATTTATATTCCCCAATCGTTCTGGCTGATGTTGCAGGCCTCTGAAGTTGAAACTGATATTATAATTTTGGGAGGTACTATACATGAAACCCCTAGAATATTTTCAAAATCATACAGAAATATATTAGTTTTTTATTAAATTTCGATTTTGGGTAGTGTGAATGATGTTTAGGAGAATAGAGGTCTCATTTTCTTTAAGCTCCGAATTTTCGAAAACTACAAAACTTTTAAATTGTTTCCGCATCTTCTTACAATTACAATTATTAAGAGAGATTTATTCCTTAGATGATATCTGTTCCTTAAAGATTTTTTAAGAATCCTGATAAATGTTTCAAAAATCTGAGTACTCGAGTACTTTTCGTGTAATTTACACCACTAATCACTTTTCGTGGTTTTAACACTAGTTTGAAATGACAAGCTCTTTTCGGTAGTTTCCGTGAATAATTCCTGAACTCCAATTTCCCTGCGTTTTCCGGTCTTTCCCTGACTTTCCATAAATGGACTTGACTGCTTTCACAGCCTCATACATACCTCACACATACCTCTATGCGAATTTCTCAACCTCACACATACCTCTCTGCGAATATACAACAGAGATAAGGAAAAGAAATTGTCATTTACAAAGCAATTCACAAAAGCATAGTAATGATGACCGGGGCGTGTTTCCCAGACTGACAGGAGATACTCGTGATTCAGCGTTTTCTGGCTGGAAATTAGCGTTTACATCGTGACTCTGCCAAAACAGATAACATCTTAAGAATAAAAGAGAACTCGTGTTGCAAAACAAACCGGAAGACAGTGTTTGGAATGACTTGTTGACATGCTCGTGATAACACTGATTAGGTCGTTAGCTACGAAATTATTATGCCTCATCGTGATTAATTACAAAAGTGTAAGAGGGTTTTAACATGTTAAGAAATAGCTTGGCACTGATAGTTGTAGTGATTCACACGAAAACACTTTACATGCTCTTACTACACTTTTTTGAAAGAGATTTCCAAATAAACCGAAAACAACCAATATTTTGAAAACAATTTTACATGAAATAATTGAAAGTTCTAATATTGAATAAAAGGCAAGATTTATGAATAAATAGATATGTTCAATTATGAGTTTTAGGGTGGATTTGAAAAGATAAACGTTTGTTCAACAAAAGCAGAAGAAGAATGTTTGTAAATCGTAAGGGCATGCGTTCGGTCAATGAGATGATCTAGCAGTGTAATAATCCGGTGTTTCGTAATTTTGTGTTTAATAAAGTCAATTTTTAATTTTTATACTATTCTTTTCTCTTAAACGGCATATTTTTGTTTAAATTTTCTTCTCGTTAGGGTAAAAAATATGGTGCCGGTCTAATGTTTGGAAAACACTCCATATTTTCTAAAATTGCGAAAATTCGATGTTGGAAATATTTGGTTGAGACTATTACATTTTTAAGCATCGGCCCTTTCGGCGGAGTTCGAACGTTTCGGCGCTTCTGAAGCGCAGTGGCCGACGCGAGTTAACTCGGAAAACCTGAGATCGGTTCTCGGTGCGGAAAATAACGTTTTTTCTCGGTGAAAACACTTTTGCGTGTTTATGTAGTAGTATGATATATCGGAACAGTTATAAATAATGCGAGAAATCATGTGCTGTGTTAATAGCACTTAGAAAAATAATTATATGGAATTATCGGCAAGTCTGCCTGTTTGTCTCTTGGAACTATAGTTTCCAAGTGTGAGGATATATACAGTTTCTTTATTAGGATCGAAAAATTGATGTGTCTCACAGGGCATTGAGTTTTAGTCTTTTTCCCCGATTCAGTTCCACACACGCTCATTTACAGTGTGCGTGTAAATATGATGAAGGGGTTTGCATTACTCCAAACTTTCCTTGTTTGTGGCAGGCACTCAAACATCTCCACATTCCCCATTTATTCAACTATTTACATAACGTCTTCACTTTTTACCACTACTTGTCTACTATCCGTCCTCCATCGCACTAATGGATCCCCATTCAAAACCGCTGCCTTACCTGATAAGCTATCGTGTGTGAACTGTATCGTTTATCTCTACAGTTTTGAAAGCATCTAATACTATGTTTACTCTTATAAATCATTGCATTCTTATCTCAACAATTTAAGTGAATTTGGAACGTAAACACGTGTTACGGTCTCTTCTCATTTAAGTTTCTAAGGAAGTGTAAAGATACAACTGCAAGCGCACGTGTTCACCACAAGGATATCAAATGATTGTCATGAGTTATCGCCGATGCAATTAACGCGTTCTGCGTGTCAGCAGTAGTACACTACTGCACATGTACTATAGTGCACTGGACCGAGCGATGTGGCTCAGGGTGTAGCGCACTGGCTTCGCAATCGGGAGACCCGGGTTTAATTCCCATGCCGGCCTTCCTGACCAAGGTTTTTGTGCTCATCCAGGCGAATGCTGGGATGGTTCTACTAAAAGGCCACGTCTGCAAAACCAGTGGCGCTAGCCGAATGCGTTAACTACGTGAAGTCACGAAAGTTAGGCAAATTCGAGATATCGCGGGTCCCTGGTTGGGTAACCGACTAGAAACTCGGGATCTGTTGCCCAATTTTCCTTTAAGGGAAACGTAATAGCTAAATACAAACACAAGAAATGTACAGGAGAGCAGTTTGAAGATGTTTTACTATGAATTTCAAAGTGTTATTTAAAAGCACTGTAACTCAGCCAATTCTTCATATACGACATAGTGTTTTATATCGCTGGGTGGAGGACACGAAAGCCATAAGAATGTGACAATATTCTCATTTTGGCGAATAATGGACATACTAGTGTCCTAAACCTCTGACCAACATATTTATAAACTACCTGGATAAGTGACTTGCTATTAATGGTGCTGTTTATAAAAGCATTTAATTTAGGTGTCTTCTTTAACGACCTGCTATGCCAATCGGTTTCTGCTGTTGACTACTCCTTTTTCCCAGTATTTTGTCATTGTCTCTCTGTTCCTCGACATCTCAGTGTAATGCAATTAATGTTTTGTAAAAGTCATGGCATATATCAAATACACTAACTTTCAAAGGAGCAGAATATTATATAAGATCCCAGATAGGGCGAAAGTGCACGTGCAGTTGGTTGGAGCCCTTAGAAATAACATTTTGAGCGACATTAATAAGCGCTTTCCAAACATGCTATTGGACTTTCAAACTAGTAGAGCTACAACAGCACTTTCTTTCTGGTCCGCATTTTCACGCAAAATTACCCGAAAAGTACTCAAATTTTCACACGCCCGACATGTGGGTTAGTGTAGTGTACGTGCGCGCGTAAGAAAGGGATGAGGATACGGCAAGTAAGACGATGGAAATATCGCGTACATGGCGTGGGGTACTCGTATTGATCGGAAAAACTATTGAAAATTACCGATCTGAGCAGCCAGCCGCAATAATTCTCCTAGAAATTGTGGATGGTACTAGACTTACCTATACCGCGAGTGTCAAAATCAGCCAAAGCCGGGACTCGAACCCTAGGACCTCCCGAATCAATAGAGCTTAAAATGCCGGAGCAGTACCTGAACAAATAGGCCACGAACCGCACACGATCTCTAATAATCTCTTACTTACGCACACACTAACATGCACTATACTACTTCACATGCAAGGAGACAGGGCGGGAGCTTAGAGCTTTCCCGATGGGGCGGTGCCTTGCAGTTAGGAAATACCTGGCTGAATAAAAACAACGCGAACCTACGGTAGGTCGGCGCTGGATCTCGTCGTTAGCCGAAGGAAGATCACCGCTACTTTCGGAGGAAACAATATACACTTCACGTACGGCTATTAGTAGCGAAAGTTGGTGCATTCTCTCAACTCGGAAGGTGGCAGGGACCTTCCCCCACTGGATGGTAAAATATACGACGCCCACCTACTATTGTCTAGCAGTTTTCCCCGACCAGGTGACTCCCACCAGCGGGCCACCGCCCCAGCCGGGACAAGCTCCAAGCTCCCGGCTTGTGTGGTAGTGTAGCGCATATTAATGTGAGTGTGCGTAAGGGGTGAGGATAGGACAAGGAAGAGGTAGGAAAGATCGAGCGTGGTCTTGGGCCCCTATGTTAGGATACTGCTCCGGCATTCACCTTGTATTGATTTAAGAAACCATGAAATATACCGATTAGAGCGGACGAGCTAGAATTCTCTACCAGACAACGACCTAGCTGACAAGCTAGTATCAAAAATCCTGTCACTGTCTGGACTCGAACCTCAGAACCTCCCGGTCAGAAACACTGCAATGACACAAGTTGATGCCTTGAACAACCTCTCCCGGTGCGCAGTATTTGAAACGTTTCGAAATAATATTATATAACTTCTCGCACCTGCAGAAGCTTTTCCAACTAACATTTATTTTTCCTCCGTACCTAGTCTGTGGAATGTGGCGAAAAATATTATTTCGGTGGTCGAAAAAACGGATAACTCTTAATACGTTAAGTAGTCAACGACTTAAATAATATTCATATTCATATCTACATATCATATAACACAGTGTCGACGTTACTGCGAAGATGCAATGTATGGCACGTGGCACAGAGGTTTGCTCGCGGGAAAACAACAACGGAGAGATAATGAGCGGCCGGCGCTTGTGGACTGTCATGGTGCCTAGGCGTAATCAGCCCAGCGTCACAACACACCCCATCTCCTCCTCCTCCTCCTCCTGCTCCTTGCAACTCCGCGCGTGCGGAGGGAGGGGAGGCCGCGAGCTCGAAAGTATAAACGTCGCCCCGGGTGGAGCCTAGAGTCACAATCTGCAGAGGTAAGCGGTGGAAGTGGTGCCCCACGCATCCTGCGCTTCTTGCGACCATAACGCACCCGTAAGCATATTCGCTCTCTGTTTACATCACTGTTTATCATATCGCTATATGAAGGTTTAAAATTCAACAATAAACGCAGAATGTACAAATTTAATTAGTTAATAAAATCGTTGGTACCTTCTAATAGTTAAATAAATAAATAAAATGTATCAAATATATTTAAATTTAAGATCTTTTCGATCTCATAACGATCATCACCAGAGCTATCTGAAAAATCTAATAAATTATGTAAATTATTTGCAAAATGTTTTATCCAAATTGTTAACAGTGTATGCCAAATGCGTAAAGAAGCTGGATGGTACACACCTTGCAGAGGTGGGCCTTGCTCTCCGACCCAGTTTGCTTCCGCATATGACATAGGCCCTACAACGTTAACATTTTGAAAATAAAGTTTTGTAAATAATTTGCATAATTAATACTTTATTTTATATTTCATGTATTGTTGTAATTTTTCAGATGGCTTTGATGATGATCTCTACGCGGTCAAAAAGATCTTAAGTTTCAATACAGAATTTTTAACGGAAAACACCTTTTAAGTATATATTTTAAACTACAAACACAAGAAAGGAAATTAAATGTATATTTATCATGTACAATTTTTAAAAATTTGAATACTTTTTCCGTAATTTTGCGTGAAAAAACGGAGGAGAAAGTTCGTGCTGTTTTTTAGGACCACTAGTTTTGATACAGCATATATGCACTGGTACCAGTCAATGTTTTCTGCAGTCCTTCTCCTAGTGGCGTGCCACCCCAATAGCCCGACATATAGTGAAGCCCTCCGTGTTCCGACAGCCAACCGCGCCCCGCGATGTCCGTGTGGGTGTCGCTGCTCTCCTACGCGCTCGCCCTCCTGGGCGTGGCCCTCGCGGCCGCCTACATGTACATGAGCCGCAAGCACGACCACTGGCGACGCAAGGGCGTCAAGTACCTCAAGCCCTTGCCCTTCGTGGGCAACCTCAAGGACATCGCTTTCGTTCGCCGCAACATCGGCGTCATGTCGCACGACATCTACCACCAGCACAAGAAGGTAACGTTCATTTTAACCACGACATTCAATGCATTATTTACTGTTTGGGCTGTATAATACTAAACACCCTGTAACAAACATTGTACCGCAGCTTTTCGGACAATGACCGCCATCTCGTTAAGGTTTTTCGTCCAGTTTCCCAGATCCTTTGAGCAAATGCAGAGATGACCCTTGTTTTGCTTATGGTCATAAATGTAACTTCATTATCTGTGCACGTCTTCTGAAATTCAGTGGGAAATATAGTTATTCAAATTATCGTTCTCCATGTTGTCGCGGCATGAAGTATTATTCCTTCACGAAGGATATAATGAGAGAAGAGCCAAAATGTATAGCTGATTTACCCATGAAAATAGAGTTTATTAGTATCCGAAATTCTAGTAGTATTTGGCTTAGGGAAGGGATCACAGAATTATGAAAACGTGTACAAAATTCACTTCTTGTAAGAAGCATGGGCTCTCTTTATATCATATCATTGCACTTTCATAAGTATCGTTAAATGTCTATTATCATTGTTTCTGGCATAACGCCTCGATTGTAATTAAGTAAATGTAACTGTGTAAGTGATTAGGCAGAAGCTCAGGCCTTCCGGCCTGAGCCTCTCCAGAAGTACAGACATTATTATTATTATGATTATTATTATTACTATTATTATTGTTATTGAAATAAATAATGTGTAATAAATCAGGAGCCGTACGTGGGCATCTTCGCCTTCGACGGGCCCATGCTGCACGTCCACGACCTGGCGCTGGTGCGCTCCGTGCTGGTCAAGGACTTCCAGTTCTTCTGCGACCGCAACTTCCACGTGAGCGCCAAGGCCGACCTGCTGGGCTCCAGGAGCCTCTTCGCGCTGAAGGGCGACCGCTGGAAGCAGTCGCGCAGCGCCATCACGCCCTCCTTCACGTCCGGCAAGATGAAGCACATGTACGAGATCGTGGAGGGACGCGCAAAGTTCTTGGCGGAGACTCTGCACAAAGAAAACACAGGTATGATGTCTTCACTAAGGACAGGATTTCTACGATTTCGCACACGCAGCGGACGCCGCTTATTGTAATCACGGTTAATATTATCATTCCTTTAATGTTAACATATGTATAATGTCCCGCCCGGACTAATGTTACAACATTAAGAAAACGTCGTGTACTGTGAACAGAATTCGTTTTATGTTACCATTGTTTTGAAACACATTTTAGTTCCGCACCGTTTTAAGCCATCAAGGCTCACGACTAGTAAATAATATTATTCCTTACTGGCCACACGGTGGTACTTCCTACGTGCTGTTCTGAAAATAACTTTCTGGCCGACGTTTGATCGCCGACCCCTCTCCCAGGTACAAGTCTTCCAAACTTTCAGTGTGGTTCACGAAGCCGTCAGTTCTCATTCGTTGGTGAAGTTCAACTACAGTGATGGCGAGTGTGAAAATTTGGGAATTTGATTGCCTAAATGAAGTTTATTTTCTCGGTGAAGGCACAAGTGAATATATTATGAATGGAAGTGCTTCACGTAGTAAACTATTTGATGCCGACTTATTTTTCATGTGCTAATCTTAAATTAGAACATTACGCTTACTGTTATCAATCGGTTATTGTTATTTTATTACCTGCGGCCTGAAGTTATAATAAGAAGCTGTGTTTGACCGTTGCTTCTGGGCATAGCTAAGGGAAATTTCTTTACAATGGTTAGAACTGGATGCTATGTAGATTAATATGTTAATGCATATTTAGCCGATTTTTCCTCTTGGTGCATATTTGTTTAATTATAGGAGTACATTTTGCATATTTCGTTAACATAGAGACTTATCTCTAAAATGTTCTATGTTTTCTTAGAATTTATTGATTTGTGAACGTTCATTGATTAGAAAGAGCTTATCACAGTTTGCTTTGTTTTTCGTCTGGTCTTTAAGTAATATAGTATTTGTAAAATGTAGGAGATTTCTAGAAAAACTAATCAAGTCAAACAATGTACTCACTAAGATGCACATACTTAAATTATTTCTTTCTCGAAGTAAGTTGTATTGCGTTTGCCCAAAAATAGATATTTCCATTATGCATACTTCTCCTGAATTTTATAAAGAAAGGTATATTTACATACAGATATTTGCACAGACAAAAAATTAAACATTGTTTATTTTAATTGCACATTGAAATGCATATTTCAGAACTTTTAGGTCAAATGCATATTTTTAAAAGCATTTTTTAAGATTTGTAGGTCGTAATAATCCTTTCCGTAATCATCAATCTATTATGTCATTATACAACATAGTCAATACAATTGTACATTAACATTTAGAAATAATTTTGGCTATCATTATTTTCGTAAATTTTCCTATTTTCAATAATAGGAAATATTTCCAGTTGTGAGTGGCTATCTAATTTTCGTTGTTGTGAAATGGTTATTAAATGTAAACCATATTGAGCGCTTTCCGAGAACAGGCCATTCTGTTTCTGCCGACAGTATTGGAGATAATATTTTTCTACAACGTTCTGGTTATCATGTTTGTGTAATAAGGTTTTGAAATCATAGCTACTATTTCTAGAGTTCTGTAAACATCGAAACGATGAATGCTGAATTCAAAAGAAGATAAACGAATTTTTAATTATTACATATTTTGTGGTTTCATAGCAGTAAATTCACCTCTTCATTATTCTTTTTTTCTGGAACCAACGGAATCGTAACTTAGAATATTCCTGTTGCCAGTTCATATTACACTATTGACCTCCTGCCGACACCTTAATCTGCATCGACGCCCTTTAAAATTCCATCGACTCCACGGCGTCGGTGCGGACCCCGTGGGGAACTCCTGACCTAGAAACACTTCGGGAGTATTGGGAATCTTGGAGTTTTACTCGGAGCCTCGAATGGGGTTACGGAGCTGCGTGAGGAATAGGTGCTCTCACCGGGAGGTCTTAGGTTCCAGTCCCGACAGTGGCAGGATTTTCGACTCTAGCTTGACAACCAGGTCGAATGTCTGGGGGAGAATTCTATGGGCAGGCTGCTCTCATCGGTAGGTTTCCTATAAAAACCAGGCGAATGTTTAAGAAATACCCTAACAAACGTGCAACAACGGACCGCGCGCAACCTTTCCTTCCTCTTCTTTGTTGCATCATCCCCCCTTTCACTCGCCTGCACTACGTTCTCACACATGCCGAGAGACTCGTCCGCAGCTTAGAGCTCGTCCCGACTAAGGCGGTGCAGCGCTGGTGGGAGATACCCGCAGTAGGTCCGTGCAGGATCTGTCCATTCAGATCACCAGGAAAAGGAAAAAGCACATTTAAGACAATCGTAAGGAGTCTCCAAATAATTTTATATGAAGACAATTGTGTAAACTTTATTTTGCTGATGATACACTTGATGCTGATTTGATACACTTTACACAGTTGTCTGTCTATAGAATTGTTTGGAGACTCCTCACCTTCAAGATTGTCTTAAAAGCATTTAAAAAAGTTGTTGGTTTTTTAATTCGCAGGTGAGCCGATGAGCGCGTACGACCTGGTGGCGCGCTACACGACGGACGTGATCGCGTCGTGCGCCTTCGGCATCGACAGCGGCACCCTGCGCGACCCACGCGCCGAGTTCCGCCGGAAGCTCAAGATGATCTTCGACCTGTCGCCCACGGAAGCCCTGCGCTTCCTCATGGCCTTCGTCAGCCCCAACGCCGTCCACACCTTCAACATCAAGGTCTTCAAGAAGGAGGTGGAGGACTATGTGATCGGGGCCATCAGACAGGCCATCCGCTACAGGGAAGAGAAGGGCGTCGTTCGGAACGACCTGCTCTCGGCCCTCGTGGCCATTATGAAGCGGAGTGCCGATGCGGGGGAGGAGGCCGACGGAACCAAGAGCAAAATAAGTAAGTTGCCACTTAGTACGTTGTTGGCTATCCGGGATGAGCCGCGTCTCGCTCAATTGTGCTGACGTTCCGTCCAAGAATGTATTGACTCACGCCGTGGAAGCCTAAGAACGCACATTCCACTTAGGTAGATGTATTTACGTTTTAAGATCTATGAATTGAAATCAGTGAATTTGTTTGGCAGATTTTGGAAATTGGAAATTGTTGTTCCAATTTTGAACAGTGGGTCATCGGCTTCGGTGATTCATTATTCTTCAAGCCTAATTTTATTCTTATTTTAAAGAATTCATTGCTTCAATTGTGTGTGTGTGTGTGTGTTTGTATTTCTACTGTCAGTTCAATTCGTTTCTAATAATATCTATCTTCTTCCACACTCAGAATTAACTAGTATCAGTTAGTGAAACCCCTTTGTCGGGATATCTTATAGCTTTCTTAACTTGCTCAGTACAAAGTGTTAATTTAGTAATCCATCATTGCTAAAAAACCAATAGAATAGTAAACATAAGTACATTGTTCTGCTATCCTTCGTGTTTTATTGCGGTGACTTTTCAAATGTCGTACAAAGTTTCTGTAGCTTTGATATCGGGTTTGAATTCACTTCGACATCTAATGCCGTTACAAGAACGTTATCCAGGTGACTGATACAATAACGTTGTATTTTCACGTTCTGTGACACCCCGTTTTTTCATTCGTTCATTCACATAATGTAAACAATTAAATTATTCCAATTTATTATTATAAAATGCAATATATTGAATAAATAATGGAGAAACAACATTTGCCTCTAAATCGTACAGGGGATTTTCACAGATCTCTCAGGCGTCACGGCCCCTCGAATTTGAAACGTACGTCTCGAATTTGAAACGTATGTCTCAAATTTTGGCGATCACAAATGAAGTCCCCACAGTTTCCAAAATCTTTCTTTAATTTTGTTGCTCTATTATTTCAAAGTACGATATACAAATGTCACTAGTTCAATTTTCAGAAAAATCTCTGGATTTTCGAAAATTACCTATATTTAAATTTTTTCGACAACCGACGATTTCGATGACCTTATCGAAGGTAACGATTTTTTAAAATGGAATCTGTTCTTCGAAATTATATATTTTAGTATTGTCAAGTACAATATTTTAAATGACAAAAAGATTCGCTTAATTTTGATTAAAATAGTTACGACTTTAAAACAACTACATAAACAAGATTTTTTCAAAACGGCTCAAAATGTTCTTCACTTTTTTCTGGAATACGTTTTTCTTAATAACATGTCATACGTCCAATATTCATTAATTCGCTAGAATTTTGAAAATGGCGAAATTTCAAGTTTTCAACCTTCTCTTAGACCATTTTGGGAGTTGGTAAATTCTCGGCTATCCGGGAGACGCCGCGTCGTTGGCTGGGGTGCCGTATGTATACATTAGACATAATTGGGTCATTAAATTATTTTAATTAGCATTTAGTATTTTCGATGTATAAAAGATTTTCACGTAATTATGTGCTTTTGAGTTTGTCGTTTGAGAGTCGGGCAATAATTGTCGTTTTGAGTTTTTTAAGTGAAGAATCAACATTATATTTACCTAAACGTTACCAATATTTTATGAAAACGTTTATGCTCTTGTAGCACCATTTTTTCTTTTAACTATACATAATAAACCAGGCGAATGACAATTGCAATTTTGATTAAAATTTCAGAATTGTATAGAGGTTTCTTTCGAATATCTGGGGTGTTCTTAATATTAGTATTCTACATGTTGTTAATTTTTTGGACCAAACGATTTAAATGAACATGTATGACCTTTCTAGATATTTCCTAAATGTTCGTGAATCTCCTACGTAATCCTTACATGCATTTGCACAAAAACGTTTAAAATATCTTCTCAAAAACCACCCCAACTCTGTACACGGAGATTTTAGTAACGTAAGACTTTTTGTATTTTCTGTACATTCTGATAGTTTGAGTTAAAATACAAAATTAGAGAGTGAAAAAAATAAGAATAAATGTAAATATGTTTTTTCCTAAGTGCTCAATATATTAATTTTACATACACGAAAAGTAAACGAGAAGTCGAGTCAAATATTTTGGGAAATATATGACGTTTTAAAAAAGTCAATCCTTTCCAAATAATGCAACTTCAACAAAGCTATTTTTTGCTAATCGCTTCATTGCACTGGTTGCAAATGTATTTTAGTTCAACAGCGTGGTTCTCATTCACTAACCAGCACCGGGAGACGCAGCACAGCACATCAACAACTGATGTCATTGCAATGCCTCTGACCAGGAGGGCAGCTTGTCAGCTATGTCGAATTCGGTCACTGTCTGGAGGAGAATTCTACAGGCCACTTGCTCTGATCGGTAGTTGTTGTGGTTTCTCCGATCAACACCGGCGAAGGCCGGAACAGTTCCCGAACAAACGGGCCACGGACCGCGCGCGATCTTTCCTACCTCCGCCTTCCTTGTCCTACTTCACCCCTTACACACATATCCACCCACATGCACTTTGCTATCACACATGCCCAGTCACCTGCTGGGAGCGCAGAGCTTGTCCGTCTGGGGCAGGGCTTCGCTAGAGGGAGATACCTGGCTAGGAAAAACACCTGAGGCCCGCGGTAGATCGGCGCCGGATCTCGACATACATCGGGGAATACCTCCTCCCGAGCAAAAACATACCCTACACTTACGGGACTAATTCCCTTAGTAGTTGACACGCTAGTAATTACTAGTACTCAACTATCCCAACCAGCACGAAAGATCGCAGGCAATGACTGCGCATTATCTTTTACAGAGATGGATGAAACAGATGTCGCTAGCCACGCGTTGGCGTTCCTCGGAGCTGGCTTCGAAACTTCTGCCACCACAATCAGTTACGCTCTCTACGAACTGGCGAAGAATAAAGACATACAGGACAAGCTGCGAGAGGAAATAAACACAACTCTTAAGGAGAACGGCGGATCTGTACCATACGATGTTATGCACTCCATGAAATACATGGACTTAGTCTTTCAAGGTGGGTAAATTGAATTACGTGAAAATTCTATAAAAATCTTATAAAATAATAACAAATATGTTTATATTTTCCGAATCTTGTTCAATGTACCATTTTTCAACGCATTTCCCATATTTCTCATTTCTACGAATTTTTGATTCAATATAAATACATTCATTCCCATAAATAAAAAAGTCACCGAAATAACACAATCCGACTGATTTTTTTATTTATCAGTTAATTTTTGTTCTGAACAAGTAGATTCATTTGTTTTGTAAATAATAAACAATATACTGTTTCTGGAGTGTTTCCATGATTCCCCAATTCAAATGTCTGCCTAGAAAGCATTTTTCCAAATCAACGTTTTGGTTCTTATTGGGACTTGGCCATTCTAAAAATTCTAGTAGTTTATTAGACAAAATTTGCTTAAAATTGTCTTAAGAGCTTATTTTCGACTTTCCGACATTACCTCCCCGAATACCCTGTATAATATTGCTAATACAGAAATAAACTCAACCTCCATAATGATCAGATGAACCGAAGATCAATTCCATTTCCCTGTTCCGAACGCACAACGCCTCGATTTTTCCAGAAACGTTGAGGAAATACCCGCCCGTGCCCTTCCTGGATCGAGTGAGCAACAGGCCCTACCGGCTGCCGGGCACGAACGTCACGTTGGACGCAGGCACAGCCGTGATGATCCCCGTCCTGGGAATCCACAGAGACCCCGAAATCTACCCCAACCCCATGCAGTTCATCCCGGAGAGGTTCTTGGAAGAGAACAAGGCCAAGCGCCCGAGCTGTACCCACATGCCCTTCGGGGAGGGCCCGAGAACGTGCGTTGGTAAGTAGACGACCCGAAAGCACCAAACGCATTAATTTTCTCGCTACCGCTCACGCAGTAGAGAGAACGTTATGAAATGCTGTGCGAAAAAACGGAGAATTTTAGGTAGAAAACTCTCATTACAGGGCCCTGGTAAGAAAAAAGTGTATAAAGTCAATTGCTGAACTTAGAAAATAAATTCTTTAACAAGTGGTGTAGCCAGAATGCATGTTTGGTGGTACTTGATACCTAAAAATCGGATGACAAAAAAACGTGTCTGTCCGTCGGTGAACAAAGCAACAAGAGTTATGCTGGTAGCATGAGCTGTAGCATGAATGAATAGAAAACGTAAATACCGCGCTGACCACAACCATAAAAGATGCTGGAAGTGATGCCTCCTTCAGTTGGTTCCCAGTGATCTGTTTGCTACCAACGTAAATGTAACTTTTCATGAGACCCTGTTTCGGCCTAGAGCGGAGAGACTTGCCTGGCGATCAGAGCTCCTACACTGCTCCACTGAGCCGCTGGCACTCTCTACAAAGGGCCTTGCTTTATAAGTAGCTAGTGTCGCAAATCCACCCCTGCCTGGATTGGTCTTCTTGGTCAGAGTCGCTGCAGAAGCAGCAGCAATGCTGTCACTGCGCTAAACTCAGCCGGAGATGTCAGTGGAAACATCTTTTTTCTGATCAACACCTGGATCCAACCCCGCTCATGAGAGATCCCTGGTTGGGAAACCTCGCTAGCCGACGTTAGGTCGGCACCGGATCTCGCCAACCTGTGACGTAATATCGTCGCCACCTCCCGAGGAAAAAGAAATGCACTAAATTTACAACACTAATGGTCTTAGTAGTCTCGGAATCACTAACAATCAATTAACCAGTCATTCGGGCGTCCTTTTTGCCAGCCGCCAATTTTCTGATGAAAATGTTCTCTGTGTTGCAGGTCTGCGCTTCGCGTTGATGCAAACGAAGCTCGGTATGATCCACATCCTCAAGGACCACTCGGTGGAGCTCCCGAGCACCACGCCCACAGAGCCCGACTTCACCCCGAAGTCCTTCCTCCTACAGCCCGTCAAGCACTTGGAGCTTCTCTTCAAGAAAATCGAGGCTTAATGGCAACATCGCATTCTCCAGTGGCATTCCATATTTCAAGTTATACTGTATCAATATTCACTTGTTTATAGTCATTACAATAAATATTTTTACAATAATGTTTTCTTCTTTTCTACATATTTAGAGAGGTTGGGGATTTGGAATAAGTGCAGTACAGCTTTCAGTAAGAAAATGATATGACAGAACAATGAAGAAATATGGTTATTAAAATCACTGAGCCTATAAAGAGCAAAGAATGAACGCGCGTCGAGTTTGCCAAACAAGACTATTGCCAAGATTTATACCTAATCTGGTTTTTGTAATGGGATATAGGCCATGTGTCTTTGAATTATTTTCGAAATAATACCATTTCACAAGAAAACAAATGGAGTCATAGACTTTCCCGTATTAGTTTTCTATTTGCTTTGGTCTCGGTTAGTTATTCGAACTTGCCACATATTCTTGCCATCTGCCATCTATTGCCGCCCAAAGTCCTTTTTTTTCGACATGTTCATACTTTTTCGGTTTCATTATTGTAGATCAGAAATATTATTTTAAAATTATAAAAGAGCAGTAAAATATCCCCAGGAGTTTTCTTTTAAAACTTTGGAGCCCTTTTAAAAAAAACTGGCAATTAAGTGCTACTGTAAATTCAAAATTTGAAGCTCTTAATCACACAAAGATTTTGAGTTTTCGAAAAACTTAATTTAAAGCACTTTAACTCACAAATACAATCGTATTTACAAATTGCTAAAAATGAGCATATCAACGTCGTGAGAGATCATTCAAAAAATGTACATTTGTGTAATTTTTAAGAAAAAAATACACCGAAATTAACTTTATTAATATACATATTATATTATATTATATTATATTATATTATATTATATTATATTATATTATATTATATTTCCGAAATAATTGCCGAAAAAACCCTAAGAGTCAATTTGCACTTTATACCATTATACAAAGTTCAAATTCAATCATATCTATCAAAACACGTGTGCGTGTGTGCGTTGGAGCACAGAATACATTGTTGAGGATTTAATGTTGCAATCCGAAACTATTAACAAAATAATGTATAATATAGATATGCCTCCATAGTAACGAAGCAATGTAGGTAGAAAAACCGAAATGCTCAACGAAGAAATTACCGAGTCCAATCATGCTGCACAAGAACGTGACGAAGCTGACGAAGAACGTGACCGAAAATGAACGTGAAAGAATTACGATATCAACAACGCATGAAGTGCGAGCGCCTAATATTCAAAATAATAGTCGCATAGGTTGGAATCGAGCTGCTTTCAGTTACGATGTGTCAATAGACTGGGAAGCTTAGGAGCTAGAATGAGTTTTATTGGTTCTATGAACGGCTTTTGCTCATTTTCTAAGGCATTGAAATATAAAAACGAAGATATATGATTGTGTTGGCAAATGATAAAGTGAACTGAATACCATGTAACCACCACCAGAGCCATTGTACTCATCTGTATACCAATACACTTCTTGACAAATATCCAAAGAATATAACAATGCTTTCAAATGACCTCATTTTGGTCACAACTTGTAGTTGCGGGAAAATTTTACGCCCAACTTTCAGGTATGTATTATAAGCTGTTAATCATAATTGTTTTATTGCTTCTGTCACCTAAGTTATGAATGTGTTTACTAATCTTCAATTTCTTAATGCATTAAGAATCATAATCATCACTTAGTCAAAAATTTACACACGAAGGATTGATTTCAATTGAGGACATGTGCTATGATGATGTCAAACAAACTATTCATTCAATTAGTCTGCGCGCCCAATCGTCCAATCATGATGCTTTAACCAGAGTTGAATCAAAGAAAAACGGTAATGATCACAAAACACCTTATGAAGATAATTCAAACAAAATCTTCCACTATTGAATGAACAAACAGAGTATGTATTCGATACTCTTATGAAAGTAACAAATGATGAAAACTGGAGGATTTACTTCTTAGATGCACCTAGTGTACAGGAATAAACTTTTTGATTTCATAATATTAGCAAAGGTTCCGCTTAAAAAAATAAATTGCCCTTAGCACTCGCTTCGTCAGGAATCGCAGCAACTTTGCTTAACTATAGTAGTCGAACAGCCTGTTGCAAGCATAAAATTGCCATTAAATATGCAAGCAATGAACCTCGACCTGCAACATTGAGAGAGCTCTGCAATGGCAAACGAGTCTTGCAGAAATGTAAATTACTTTATATTGGGATGAATGCCATGATGGCAACATAAATAAATCTTGGATGCTTAGACAGAAAACCTTAAAAGATCTTACGGAGCAATCATACCATTATTGGTGGTGCATCGATTTTATTAGCACGATTTTCGTCAAACATTGCACATGATTACACGATGCACAGCAGCAGATGAAACTCAATGCATGTCTAAAGTCCTCCCAATTGTGAACAACATGTTCAGAGTACTACATTTTAGCAAAGAAATATGCGTGTCGAGTTGCAAAATGACCACGTTGGTAATAGCGAATTTCCTATGCAGACATGTTGACTGCTGCATTAATTCCTCAAGTTTTTGTCAGTTAACCTCGATCAAGATAGAACGTATGCAGAAGGTGTTTCAGATGTTTCTCAAATTATAGAAACCATGCTGGTTGAGCAAAACGAGCTATACTGGCTGCAAAAAACATAGATTATAATGACTTAAATTTAAAATTTCAAAGAACAAATTACTGGGCGAATCAGGATATATAAATCAGTTGTTTGGCTACTAACCCAATGATGTAGTGAACTATCCACCTATAATTTTTTAAACTCACTGGATTTTGCCGGATGCCACCTCACAATCTTCTATAAAAGTTGTGATCGTAGTCTTATAATGTTGCGAAATCTGAACCCACTCCTTTGCAACGGAACACGGTTAGCGATACAAAATATACAAACAACGGATAGAAAACTACACTGAAAGGAAAGTATAAAGTAGACGACGTTCTCTACGCGCATCCCAATGATTCCGACTGATGTTGCCGTTTACCTTTAAACGACTTACAGTTTCCAGTTCGGCTTGCTTTGCTATGACCATAAACAAGTACCCAGTGGGGCAATCATTAAGTGTGGTATTAATCTAGAAACCCATGTTTCTCACATGGTCATTGTATATTGCCTGTTCCGTGTTGGAAAAACATCAGATTTTTTGTCTATGCGCTCAGGTAATCAAGAACAAAAAACATCGGTAGCACAAAGCACTAGCAATGAAAAAACCTGATTTTCTGTTTATGATTAATGATACACATGATTAACATAAAGCGATACTTACTTTTAAATGCTTATAGTATTTTATTCAATTATATTCTTTATTCACAACGCCTATCACCAGGGTGCCGGTTCTGTTCAGGCAAATTTTTTTGGCCAGACTAAAAATATTGAGGAACAAAAAAATTGCACATTACAAATCTTTTTGACGCGGACGAAGGCTGTTCGGGTCCGCTAGTTATATATATATATTATTATATATCTTATATTATATTATATTATATTTATTATATATATATTTATATTATATTTTATATTATATTATTTATATTATTATATTA